TACCCAAGTATCCATCAATCCTTTTCCCTTTATCTTCTTCTTTTTCGTAAATTTCTGGCTATCTGATAATAGCTCACTACTTCGCTAAGATAGCACTAGTCTCTCTCATAACTTTCTTAATTTGGTAACTAAGCCACTTCTCGAGTCAGTATTCAACATCCCTTCTATTCAACAAGCCAATTATTCTATGGTTAACAAAAAACCCGTGACAGAAGGGTATCTCGCAATTTATATTGGTTTAAAATATTCATGAACGATAAGAAATTTACAGGTATATTCAAAGTACACAAGAATAAACATAGTACGAGTCAACGAACTTCCAGAAATAAAATAACACAGAAAATGAGATGAAAAGAATTAAGAAATTATTGACAAAATTCTACTGGAAAAACACCAACTAAGAGTTTAAAAAAACAACAACACAAGTTACCCGAGACTACGAAATAGGAAAAATTTATATATCCGACTGACAGACCATCTTAATAGTTTGGAGTTGTTCACGGGTAAGGTTTAAAGCACTGAAAAGAAACTATACTTGTGACGAATAAAATATAGCTATGTCTTGATAATCGTTACCTAAGATGGGTCCCAAACTTCCCGTTGATACGCAACAAACCTGCCTGAAGCGCCGCGTCGATCTGACGTACTGTGGCGTCAGAACACGTGGTGACAGTTTGATTCTAAACAAAAGTTTATTACTGCAGCAATTCTCAGAGGACTAGACCGCAGTTAGGTACGATAAAATTACCGCCTTCAATCGGAAGAACTTGTCAATGGTCTGAATCAACTGCACAAACTTCCCAATGATGTTCGCGAGGTCTTTCAAAACTACACCATAACGATCTTCTTGGTAGGACTCGATGATGAACATGTACAAGCCTGAATAAAATATAAAAATTTCTACAAGAGATAATTTCTGCAAACATACTTTCAATCGCAAGAACTGCTATATGAGCATCATATCGTGGTATAACATAAGATTCATCAGCCAGCATAGTGTAAACCTTTTTAAGCCTAAAAATCACATATGCTGACGCAACCAAATAAAAAAAAGCATAACTTTTCTGAAGCGAACCAAGTAAGCTGCTGTGGAATGATAATCTCGGATCGACGAGCAATAGGTCTCATAGCAACACGATGACGCTGTCGGATTGCTGATGAATATACTAAAGAATTGTATTTTTTCAAAAGTATGAATCCAAGGAAGTAGTTGAGCTCGAAACTCACTCTGTTTCCTGGATTTGAGCGGCATCATGAGCATTTCTCTGTCTACCTCCGTTACATCTTCTTCAGACATATCACCTGTGGCACCTTCGATGCAGGGTCCACCAGGGAGGCGAGAAGATGCCAACTGAACAAAAATACCAAAAATTCAAAAAGGTGGTATCAACTTTTACTTCTACTGAGAAAAAATTAACGAAATTCTCAAAATCACCAAAACTAGAGACAGATAGCACTCACTTCCAGTTCACTACGAATA